TCAACAACAATAAAAAGGAAAATCATATTAATAAAGTGCTATTTTTGTGTCTTCAGCTTCATAACAGTCCCACCCACCTGCCCGGGGTCCCAGGAAGCCGGTGGCATGGCACTCGTCTATAAACACCATGGCTCCGTACTGTTCAGCCAGGTCACAGATTCCCGTTAGAGGAGCCACGTCTCCGTCCATCGAGAAGACGCCATCAGTCACGACGAGGCGCATACGAGACGACTGAGGAGACAAAAAAAAAAACAAGAGTCACATGATCGTCCAATCAATTCTGACCCCGTCACCTCGGGGGGAAATGACTTTTTGATGCACGAGATGACCTCTTCTGATTCTCTTCATTAAACACGGCGCGCCTCAGATGAAGTGGAGAGCATTCATCATGATGGTTAAAACGTCTGATCAATAAGCGTTCACAATGACAAGAACGGCAGATTCATCACAGGGAAAAAAACGATACTCTCATTTTTTGGGCGATCACAATCGACGTTTTGCCGACTGAAACTGAATCCATCCATCCATTTTCTTCACCTTATCTGAGGTCGGGTCGCAGTGGGAGCAGGTGAACTCGGACTAACCTCACCCCAGCAACATTTTCCAGATCCTCCTGGTGGATTCTGAGGCGTTCCCAGGTCAGACGGGATATATGATCCCTCCAAACTCTGGATCTACTCTGGGGTCTCTCCAAAGGGAGGCGTCCAGGAGGATCCTAATCAGATGCTCGATCATCCTTGACTCCTTGCTCCTTTGGATGTGAAGCAGGTCTACTCTGAGCTCCTCTTCCTCTCTCTAAGGCTGAAACTGCAGCTAGGAGATTTTGATCAGCTTTACTTCCCCGGCTCATCAAGCAGAGCGCTTTGAAACCACAACGTTCTTCTGACTGTTTTAAGTGAGGAGACAAACTCTTCACGACTTAATTTAATGCCAAACTGTCGAGGCTGCAAAAAAAAAAAAAAGAAGACATTTGAAAGTGGCCCTCTCTCTCACACACACCTGAGACTCTTTGAGTTTCTTCTCCAGGTCTCCGAGGTCCATGTGTTTGTAGCGCAGCCTCTTCGCTCGGCACAGACGGATCCCATCGATGATGGAGGCGTGGTTCAGCTCGTCAGACAAAACGGCGTCATCCGGGCCCAGTAACACCTGATTCAAGAGGAATGTAAGACTCAATTTATGGTCACCAGATTTTTAAACTTTGATACCATTCTAGTGAAAATCAAACCGCATCGATAGCTGTTTGTATACCATGGCAACAAAAATATAAATTGTAGGTCGCTGTCACATATAGAGTTCGGTGGACTCGGTGTGATTCAGGGTCGAAGATGCAACATTTTCTTTTGGTTCAGTTTGCTTTGACGTACCTCGAACAGTCCGGCGTTGGCATCAAAACAGCTCGCATAGAGGATGCAGTCCTCTCTCTCATGAAACTGAGCTAACTTCTGCTCCAGATTCTTGTGTAGATCCTAAAACCACAGAGTGACAGCAGAGAAACAGACGTGCTTATGTGGCCATCAGGGTGTTAATGTTCTGATTATTATTATCAGATTTAATTTATTATAAACGATCTAACCTGTGTGCCACAGATGAATCTGACAGAGCTCAGTCCAGCGCCGTACGCTTTCAGAGCATCGATCCCCGCCTGCACCACGTCCGGATGACTCGACAGTCCGAGGTAGTTGTTAGCACAGAAATTTAATATCCCTGAGAGAGAGAGAGAGAGAGAGAGAGAGAGAGAGATCAGAAAACAGCAAGTGTTTGAGTGTGTCACATCACACTCTCTTTCTGATACATCTTTTTGTCTGCTAAAAATTAAAACAACATGTAGAACAAAAAGTGACAATGCCTGGGATTATAGCGTCGCCATTCAGCGAATAAAAACAAAGTCACTTTCACACATGAGAGGTCACGTCCTGAAGTCAAAGGGCCGTTCATCCTGCAGAGTAAACACAACACTCTCTGCAGGACGGCAAACAGCTGCTGCTGCTGGCACCACCAAATAACAGAGGTGTCTATATGAATCATTTTTCTTTGCTTTGAAATACACTTTTTTATTTATTATAAACTAATAATGTTATTACCAAATCAGGATTTGTTCTTTATAGAAACTCTGGACATAACATTGCAGATCTCTTCCACGTCTCTGTAAGTTTGGGAAACATCCTGAAGGTCTCAGGGGAAACAGACTCTGACATCCTGAAGATTTTCATGGTTGTGAGTAAAAAAATAGAGATTTCTAAAACCAGCAAAATAGAGCAGGAAGGTCATTCAAATGAAAATAAATCAATAAATGAAGTTATAGAATTGATGTTAATGCAGTTAAAGCAACACATAGATAGATAGATAGACAGTAGCAGGTTACAAAGACTTACATCACATGAAACATTTGTTACAAATTATCCACAACCCCCCCCCATACATACATACATACATATATATTAACCTGAAAAAAAGATTTAAAGAATACCTCTAGATTAATCAAATTTAAACTGTGCAATTAAAAATAGATTTATACAACAAATGTTCATAACCCGGCCAGGGATAAAAATATATGTGAGATTTAAACAAGAACCTAAAAACAGTTGAGGAAAAACATCTGTAATTAGACCTGAATATAAAAAATAAAAAAAGTGTTGACATTCTGAAGTTGTGTTGTTTATATATGTACAGCAATGTTTAAAAAGAAAATAGTGCAAAATTATCAAAAAACAGACATTAAATAACAGGCAGTGCAAACATTAAATTAAAGGTGTTATTTAAGTAGTTGAGGTGATCATTAAAGTGTTTAACTAGAGGCTGACTCTTGGGACAGCTGGGAAAATGGAAAAAGATGGGAAAATGGAAAAAGGAAGATTTAGTCCAAGTGTGTGCTGCTTTCCCCCTGCCATGACCGTGAGCTGTTTACAGGAAGTAAATAAGACACTAAACTATGTTGAAAGACACAAAAAAGGTTAAAAAAAATGTTTTAAATTGAAATACAATCCTCCCAGCTCGTGTCCTCCAGTAACCTTTCATGAGAGTAAACTGTAGTTTAGTCAGAACAAGAAATCAGAGTGTCAGAGCGACAACAGACAAACAGACAGACAAACAAACAGACAGACAGACAGACAGTCAGACAGACAGACAAACAAACAAACAAACAAACAAACAAACAGACAGTCAGACAGACAGACAGACAAACAAACAAACAAACAAACAAACAAACAGACAGATAGACAAACAAACAGACAGACAGACAGACAACAGACGGACAGACAGACAAACAGACAAACAGACAGACAGACAAACAGACAAAGACAGACAGACAAACAAAGCGACTTCAACTTTATTTTATGTATTGGTTATAGTGCGTGGTGCGTTCACGGACCGCCAGCTGACATTATAGTTACAGTATTTAGATAACGGCTGTTACCGTGAAGTTACCGTGAACTCACCGCTCTGACTGCCGTCCACGGTGATCTGCGGTCCCTGCTTCGACGTGATGATCCGCTCCGCTTTCCACGTCCCCGCCGCTCGGATCCCGTCCAGCTCGCTCTCCAGCACCGCTCTGGCTTCAGCGACGGCGGCGTAGCTCCGGTTCAGAGCCGGGGCCGAGGACCGGAGGACGCCCCGGAGCGGTTTCACCAAACTCCGGGCAGCTTTACCGAGAGACATGACCGTTAAACCGTTTAACCGTAACGCTGTCAAACGTGGACGACCTCTCTCAACGTAAAAAGACTAGAGACGGGCGGGGCTACGTCATGTAACATGTGTAGGCGTGTGTGTGTGACGGACCAATCAGATTAAAGAGATTTTGCCAGTTGGCTTTTTTTGTCCAATCAGGATCCAGGACTGTATTTACCCCCTGGTTCAGACGGAGCAGCAACATGTTGCCTTAAATAAACTTCACTATCAACGGCTTTAAACTTTTCTTTAGTTTGAAGAGACTTCGCGAAATAATACAGGAACACGTTTTGTGTTTAAATATGACATTTTAACCAGACTACACACAAACTCTCTGACCCTTTTTACCCTCTAAGAGCTTCACAACTTTGTATTTGTCAATTGATTGGGTAAACTACGGAAGCCCGAAGAGGACATGCACCCAGCTGTACTGATGAATGTACACTTTTTACATCAAAAAATGCTTTTTAGATTTGTAAAATAATTTGCCGTTTCTGTGATGCATTTTGATAACCTCTGTTTTGTTAAGTAAAAGCTGTATTATTATTATACATGATGGGAAAATCAAAGTTACAGGCAGAATTCAAACAGTCAGTCAGTGAAGATGAGAAATAAACAGACAAGCCGTAGAGTACCTGCAAAGCCATTTATTTGATAACTTTAAGAAATCTTAACGCTCAGCTTAGAATAACAAAAAGACAAATGTACGGGTAAACGCTTCAGTTTAATCTACGACAGCCGTCTGTGACGACCTTCCTGTTAAACTTCAAGTAAGACACCAGAGGAGGAGGATGGAGTCAGAAAAAAAACATCCAGTTTTCTTTTACATCAAACTATTCCATTACGTAATGATCTCCTCTTACATACAACTTTACAGTGTGTGCTACGTCCACAGGGGCTTTTTCTTCCATTCACATATTTGACATTATTTATATTACAGCTTTATTATACATCATCTATTTAACAAAATAAGTAACAATATCCTTCAACAGCAGGAATGTAACCTTAGAAAATGTGCAAATGTTTGCATTCAACACATAGACAAACCCTTATAACAATGTAAGCTAAAAACACCGCTCGCCTTGAGCGAGGAACATTATTTATCAGTTTAAAAAACGCCCCCCCCCCCCCCCACCGGGTAAATAGCAGTAACTATGACAACCTCCCTCAGACGTGGGTTACATCCCCCACATCAAATGTGCCATCGAACCATTTCTTTAAAAGGAATCTCCACGTCTCAGCCGACGCTTCACGAGTGCTGTTAGTGTGGCGGGTTAAAAGTGCAGTTTAAGACTCGGAGTGGTCGTTTTCCTGCGAGGCGGCGCTCAGCGACGGCAGGCGTTCAGCTGCTTTGGCTCTTCCTGCCAAGAACTTGTCGAACTCTGCAGGAGGAGAAACGCTGAATTAGATGAGACGACATGTGATCAAATAAGTATGTAAATAAATAAGTGTTGTAAAATGTGAAGATAACATCAACTGAAGCTGACTTAACGCTCGTCCTCTCACATTAAGCTCATGAGCTTTGGCTCTTCATCAAAACTATCTCACACACTTCACACAAAATACACAAGTTTAACTAAAAGAAACAAAGATAATACCGTACAAACTCATTTAAAGGCAGGCTTGGTAATTTTAGAAAACTGGTGTGATTTTAAAGACTCTCACCTTCACTGGTCACACCGTCTGAATCTTCAAAGTCGTCAAACTGTGTCAGAAACAGAAAATAGCAGAACATGTTTTAAATTCATGTACAAACACTTTTTGCAGATAAAAAGCACTTTTATTAAAAGGCCGTTCCTCTCTGTGAGGATTATAAAAACATTTCATAGTTTAGTCTGATAAATGTGACACGTGTTAATGAATAATAGACGGGCATGCAGACATGTGCAAACACATCAGATAAGAAGGGTGTAGCTAAAGTACCAGATCAATTCAGAGTTTGACCTCATGATGGCGCTACACTACACCTTAAATAATCACCAAGTATCTTGATGGAAACATGAATTTATGGAACCAAATTTCTTGCTATCAGATGGTTGGCAAAATAATAGACAGACAAAACAACTGACAGAGTTACAGCCAATGGATGACTTAGAACAGTGACCATCAACTGGCGGCCTGCGGGACACATGCGGCCCCCCAACTTGCTTTAGGTGACACCAACGTCGGGCTGATGTGCGAGCTTATTTTTAAAGTTTGAATTATCCAGTGAATCAAAACGTGAACAGAAAAAGAGCAGAATAACTAAATGGTTAAGTTACACATTTAGATCGTTTTCTTGTTTTAGTAATCCAATCATTTACCTCATCGTCCAGCTCGAGCCATTGCTCAATATCATCCATAACGTTGGACTGGTTGATAGGAATCTGAGAAAGGAAGCAGAGCATCAGGATAATCAGTGTCAGGAAATATAGAGATAGATCACTTTTATGAAGATGGAAGAAAGCTACCAAACCACTAAGACAAAAGAAAACCAAAAAAAGAGCTACATGTCGGGAAGCAAGGCAAGACCGGTATGACAACTATGAGGTATATCAGGACGGTGCAACCCAAACATTGTCATGCTCAGAATGGAGACAGGCAAGAACTGAGAAACATCCAATTGTCTTCAAAATGTTTAAAAGCATGCAAAGCACAATGTCCTCAAACATCAAACCCAAAAATGATGACCCAAACAAAAGAGACCCACGCCATAGGACGTTTTAAATCTGCATCTGCATCTTCATGACAAAACCAAGAGACACAAGGAGTGGAGAGGTGAAATCATGTCAAACCAGATTCAGGACACACACACCCACCATTCCCCTTTTAATCATCCAATCTAACTTTGGTGAGGAGCTGCAGGTGGAGGCTGGGCTGCCATCCTTCATGCACAGACAGAGATTTGAATAAGGAGGAAAAACAGTTACTGAGACAAAGAAAGATAAACATACCCTCAACCAAAGACATTTTAGAAGTTTACAAGTCTGTATTTATTCATGGCAGAAACATATGTTCAGTAAAAACTCTTTCCCTTTGTCAATCAACTCCCATAACTAAGCTCCAACATCGAGCAAATACAAGCAATAAGTGCAGCTACACCTCAATCTACCTAAAAGTATGTTTATATTTTAAAATTAATTATACTTCTATCTCCCAGTGTTATTGGAAATTTTATTTTTTTACCTTTGCATGTGCTAGAATTTGACTTTGATATCGTGCTGCATCCATCCATCTGCAGTAAGCTGACTAACCATTCATCCATCTAAATAACAATCCAACTATCCATCCATCATACTATCCATTCATCCAACTATCACTCCATCCAACTGACTTACCACTCTTTCATCCATCAATTCAATTACCCATCCTTCCACCCAACTATCCATCCATTCATCTTCCATCAATCCATCCTCCAAACTAGCAATCCAAAAATCCCTCCATCCATTCAACATCTACCCATCCAGCAATCGATCCATCCTTCCAACTTTCCCTCTATCTAACCATTCATTCATCCTCCCAACTATCTATCCATATATACCAGCAGCCATCTTTTCATTGAGATTGTCTGATATACAAAAAACCTCAGAATCTTTGACTTGGTCGGTCTAAGTGCAACGACTCAAATCGATCCGGGTTTTTGATGCAACAACACAGAAACTTATTTTACTAAAGAAGCCATTTCTACACTTAACTTTTGTATTGTTCCACATTCACTTTATAGACAACAAGAAGCCAAAAGATAAATCAGTTAAATCATATTCAGCCAGAATCCAAGGCATACCTTTCCAGGGTTTTGTAGTCTGATGTTCTGAGCCTGAGCCAGGCCGTCCACTGCCGCTTCACTCTGCTCGCTGAAACACCAGATTTGAACTTTGGTTAGCTGCCATGTAAGTGAAAAAAATCTGTTGACAAACTGTGAAATCTTGGCAATTCTTAAGGGAATTTAGGAGGAATACGTTTGAGTTAAACTCCAAAACAATTATTAAGGACCTCTACCAAAGAGCTCTCGGACTGTTTTTGTAATATTGTTATACATTAAAAAAATGCAGAACAACTTTTCTTTTATTTCAGTAGAACCCTTTTAATCTGATGTATCCCTACAGGTGAATGTTGATGCTCTTATCAACAAAATGTTCTAAAATAAGTCAAATAATGTGACTCTACTGGTTTCATTAAAGTGGATAATCAGTCTATGCTCCTGTAGTATGATATCAACCTCATTTTTAAAATGGGTTGTCTGCGATCTTGGGGAAATTAACTCCACTACCCACAATTCTAGAGTAGTACAGCGATGTCTCTGATTGGTGGAGCCCGCTGTTACCTTGGAAATGTTGACCCCCGTTGCAAACCTCGGCTGTCGGCTGCTACCACTGATGTTCAACTCAAACTACAATACATGTAGATAAATGTAGAAAGAAGGTGTGTGTATGCTGAACTATCGTTTGTCGGGTCTCGTTGGAATCGCAATGGATTGTGGGATGCGTAGTTCCTTTCCAGCCGAAATAAATGATGTACACAGTCTTGTACTTTTGCCTTTTTTCTTTTTGTCCAATGTTTTCTTTGGAGCCCAATTAAATGTTTTATAGTCGTGAGAGTTCAGATGGCTGGTTGACTCGGCTCCAGGAATAAAAATATGGAAATCGGATTTTCTGAAATGGAGGATTTGAATAAGGAAATCTACTTCTGGAACCAGAGCCGCTGAAGAAGAGGGCAGTCTCTGTTGAGCTCTATTGGAACCTCTTTAGAAACCAATAACATGTCTTAAAGCTCTTGCTATGGTTCCAAGACTTTTTGTACCTTAGTCTTTGTTGGGTTGGTATGTTCATCTTCTGAGATAAAGTGTCATCGGATTCACTTGTACCTGCAAGAAAAGGAAAACACGTGTAGAGGCATGCATACACTGTACATTAACGATAGTGACAAAGACTAGAACACTTACAAAGTCTCGCCATCTGACTGGACAAACTGTCCGATTTCGAGTGGCTGAGCGAGCTGTTGTTGGACATTGATGCAACAACGGACTCGCCTGTCAAATCCTCATCTAACAGGTTGACGTAGTTGTGGCTCTGAGAGAA